TATGTGTGTGTCTACTGTAAAATGGAATCAATTTTTTAATTTCTTCCTCATCTCATACACTAAAGCAAATGATTTTGTATATTCTTTTAAACCTCCCATTGTAAGGAACTGATGTTTCAATTAGTGTTTCAGTGAAATCTTTGTGGTTTTCTATATATATCATCACATTTACAAGTCACGCTATCTTCATTTCTTCCAAGTTTAGATTCTTTTTTTTTTTTTAACGAATATTTACTTGTGCATACAGAACTGGGGTATAGGTCAGAGGTATGGGGGGGTGAGAAGATTCACCAGAGAAAGAGTGAAAAGCAGAAAAGGCAGCTCTACTGAAATACACTGCTAAGGGGAGCTGCAGGCAGGTCAAGAGAGGTCTGCCATGCCATGTGGGCCACCTCCCTAGCTGGGCTGCAAACTCATGCAGTAGTGGCTGCGATGACTTCATAGTGCTGTGTTTTAACCCACTGTGCAACCAGGGAGGGCTCTAGATTCCTTTTATAACCTTCTCCTGACTAGTACGTCTAGCTAGGAATTCCAATTACTTTTGAACAGTAGTCGTAAAAGTAAGCATTTTTGTCTCTTATCATATTTGAATGGTAAAGCTTTCCATTTTTCACCATTATAAATGACATTCAAGCTGTATCATATAGTACAACTTTACTATGTTGAGATGTATTCCAATTATCCTCAGTTTCTGGAGGGTTTTCATCTAAATGAAAATGCTTTCTTAACATCTATTGGTATGATATGGTTTTTATCTTTCTTTTTGTTGATGTGATGAAGACATTGATTTTCAGATGGTGAACCATCCTGTCCCTGGTATAAGTCCCACTGATCATAGTATATAATACTTCAAGTCATTGAAAGTTTACAAAGCTTTTGTTGAGGAGTTTTACATTTGTGCTCATTAGAGACACTGGCCTGTAGTTTTCTTGTTTGTGTTTTCTTTGTTTGGTTTTGATATTAGAAATGTTGGCCTTAAAAATGTGTCTGGAGAAAGTAGATGACTGGATTAGAAAGATGTGGTACATATATACAATGGAATATTACTCAGCAACCAAAAAAGAGAAACACATGTCTTTTGCAGCAACTT